GAAGTTGCTCTGTTTTTTGGCACATAGGCCATGGGAACATATGGCTAAGACTCTGTGTAAACATATTGGATAGCTGCAGATGATTGGTGTTACCCTGATGGAAGAAAGGTTGATACACAGAAACATAGGGAATGGTTGTACCTGTTGCAAGGTGAGCACTTCTGTGCATTAATCTGTGTAAAGTAGAACCAAACCTGTGTCTCTTCATCTGCTTCTGCCTCTTCCCCTTCCCAGTTACATGCATTTCCACTGCTCAAGTCCTTGAGCCCCTGGGAGATTTTCTAGCTCTTTTGCATAAGTGCAATAGTGGGAGCATTTAGTACCTCCTTTTCCTTTGCACTTCCTCTCAGAGGCTTGGCATTTCCCTGCAATTTCCCATCCCCACCGTTCAGCATCTGATATTCCTGCCCATACTTGTCTTTGCAGGGGGTTCTTCTTTCTCTTTTCTCTCCCCACCTGATCACATTCAGTTTGGGAAGTCCTGCATCTTTCCCACTCTCTTTCCTCTACAACAGTTTTTATTTTCTTAACACCTCTACTAATACACTCCAGTTTTGATGGAAAGATAGATCTTGAGAGAGACATCACTGATGGATCCTTCTCTCTATAGTGGATTGGAAAAAAACCTAACTAGCATAACACTCTCATGTTTACATGTGTACATATTTGGGCACCAAACTTTAGCAAGGTTTGGTTATTTTTGATCTTGATTCTATCTTCTCATGAAAAATTTGTTTAAAAAATAATATTTGGATCTTCCTTAAAAATTTCTTAGATGGAGAGGATAACTGAACGTAAGTCATGGCATATAATTAAATTGCCATTTTATTTTAAAAATATTCAAAGTAAAATTTGAAATATATTTTTACATGCTCATTTCTCCCTCTCTACTTCTGTCTTATACGCACAAAATCCTGCAATCTATTCTTCAAGCTCAATATTGGCTTCAGCGAAAGATAACAGTGACGTTGAAGAATTTTTCATTATCCCTTGATCTTTCTAATTTTCAAGTCAAACACAGATATTCCTCCAAAATTGAAGAGATGCTCTCAGAAATTGGAGTGCTTATTTGTGAGGTCGTATAAAATCTTTTCTTCTCTTTCCTTTTCCCAGTTGGCCTCTTTCCTACAAGCAGAAAGCAACGCTTCAAGGGAAACAAACAACCCCTCCACACACACCTTTTTAGTCACATGTTCTATGCACTAATCCAAAACCAACACTTAATATGTGAGAATTTCTTCCTTCTCTGTTGAATTCACTACTCCTGTCACAGCAAATCCTGCAAACCATTTTGGTGAATAAAAACTTTGATTTATGGCCAAGTAAAAAAATGCCTTTTTCAGTAGACCCACTCTGTAGGACTCTTGTTATAGAGGATAATTCAGTATTCAGAATTAATGTCACTGGGTTCTCCTCACTCATGAAATCCTGGCATTGCTAAGAAAAGAGAAAGATACCTCTAAGGTGAATGCAGAAGAGCATGAGAAACCAGCTGGGAGTGTGTGGGATTAAACTTGGCAATGGATAGGTTGTTTTGTTTTTCTAGTTGGCTCAAGTTGTGATGCATGAAGAGTTGCCTTTTGGACCTGATACTGGGAGAAGAGGAGGTGAGCTGGCTGGTAGACGGAGGAGTGGGAAGATTGGTGGTGGTGAGGGTCAGGTGCTGTTGAATGGGAAGTTGCCTTTCCCTTCCCTCATTTACATCTGTTGGAAATGACTGCACTATTTCATAGAAAGTAAATAAACTATACAGCCTTATTTTGGGTGGAGTTTTGTGTAGTAACAGGGATATGCTAGCTGGGACTTTGCACGTCCTGCTGCAATTGTTGTGGAAAGCCCTCCTTCACCAAGCCTGTTTAATGAGTGTTGTACCGCTGAGTTCTGTCATGGTAAGCAACCAAAGTGTGTATCCAAAACTTAATTTCCTTTTGGTACAGCTGTGGAGGGGAGGCCCTGTCCTGCTCTCCCGAGTTATTTTTGTGGAGTTTCCTTCTCTGTGTAGTTTGGACAGTCTCATGATGAAAGCTAATTTAATGGTCAGTCTGTTAGAGATGAGTAGGGAGAGAGAAGTGGCTGAGGGCAGGCTCAGGACACTTGAAGCACTGGTACTCAGTTGAAGGGAATGACATTTCCGTATTTGGTTAGGCTGTCCCAGTCTCCAATGGCCACTCTACAAGGAGCCTCCGCTATCTGTTATGGGGTGGTGAGACGTGTTGTTGTGACTTTCACATGCCAAAGGCAAGCTTGCTATCATCTTCAGCTATCTTTTTCTTTCATTTATGGGCCAGTGATGACTTTCTTTCTCCTCCCTGCCCAAAGGGAAGGCAAGGCCCTAATCACCCTGTTGATTTTTTCCCACCAGAAGATGCTGATGAGGCCTCCATATCTACAGAAACACCCCTCTTCTCCTCAGATGCTCCCGCTAGACTTAGTCGATTGCAGCTGCGCTAAGAGCTTGTAGCACTATCCCTTTAACATAAACTTAGGGCTTTGAAGGAAATTAACTTGTTTGCGTAGATAGCACAAATGGGAATATTTTGAAAGGGCAGCTTGATTCCTGGGTTTGGGTAATACAGTCTCAGATTTGAGACTTGGGATTGGTGAGAGACTGAGAACAACAACAGTTCCTTGCAGATGTACCGGGGTGTGCTGCCAGCGCCTGAACAGGAGGCTCCTGCAGACGCTTCCTTTGCTCATGAGTCTGTCTTTGTGCCCAGTTTGTGGGAAAGAGAGTTGTGTGCCTGCTTAAGGGATCTGCGTGTGTGTGTTTGTGCGCTTAAAGAGAAGGCAAAGGAAAGTGAGAATGGGAGTGGGGAGGGAGAATCTAGATATTTGTTTTTTCCAAGTCCCATCCACTTTCTCAGAAGTCTAAACAAGGAAAGAGTCAATAAACAGGCATTAAACAGCACTTGGCTGGAAACATTTCTGCTTTGTGCCTTATGGGTAACTGTGAGTATATTGGGGATATGGCACGGTTCCATCTGTATTATGTGGTGTAAAACAAACATTTTCTTCTGGAAAGAAGAGTTGCTTGTCTTTCACTTGCAAGCTTTTGTTCATTTGTTTGTTTGATCCCTGTCCTTTGGTACTTTCAGGCAAGAAAAATAGTTTTTCTTGAGTACCTTGTTCAAAGACTGGTCTGTAGAGACAACTCTAGTATTCAGCAAAGTGTGAAGAGCACTCACCTGCAATCACACAGACCTTACTTTTTTAGGTGGTAAAATATTTACCCAAGGTCAAACTTCCTCCAGTACAAATGGAGCTAAAAACATAAGCTTTATTCTGTCTGAAAAGGCAGGATTCCTTGAGATATCACAGCATATAAATAATTAGAAGGAGCGTGTAGATTCAGGGGATGTCCTGAAGACTTATCCCTGTTCCAGACATGAATATTTCCAAATCATCCAGGAACAAATATTGCTCCCAGTATTGAACAGCATCTTGGTTAGCAGATAGCTTTTGCAGAGGCAGTAGGGCCAGGAGTAAGGTGTTGGGACAGGTTCAGCAAAGCCTTTGTACATGTACATAACTTTAAATATATACACAGATTAATGAAGTTGAGAAGGCATCACTGATCATCTCATCCAATCTCTGGCAAAATTTTCTCTTATGAGTCTTATAACATGTTCACAGGTTTCTCATGTCCATTCAGCAAAACATAAAAGAACATGCTTTCTTCAGAAATGCACGTACATATGCTTAACTTCAGGGATGCATTTATTAAATGAAGCACTTACAGTTAGATGTATTCTGAAATGCCAGTAGGTAATGCTAGGCAACTGTCAGAGGTGATTGGTCTTCATGAGTCTGCTTCTGGAGAGAGATGGGGTACCCCAGAGGGCAGTTTTTAGAGTACCTATTTCTCTCCATTGACTCTGGAAGGGGGCAGAGGTTATAAATTATGCATCGTGATTAGATGCCTAATGTGGATCTGTGTTATTGCCCTCTTTCTGTTGAATAACTTTTTTCATATCTATAAGATGCAAAGTCTTACAAGTTTAATCCTAGAAGTCCATAGAATACCTAGTGTTAGTGTAGGAAGCAGACTTACCTAAACCAGTTCTGCTGGTGGTTACCTGCTGCCCTCCAGTTCCCCCAACTCTCCCATTCCCATGGTCCTCACATCCATTTCTGCCATTTCCCCCAGTGCTAATGGCCAAAGAAAATAATGAGTTAGAGACTCTTTCTTCTCTCTGCTTTATATTCCCACTTCATTTGCTCTCTAAAACTTTTCCTGGTTTGTTGTCTTTTCTAAAGAAAGCTCTCTAGGGTTTGTCTCTGTTGTGCAGCTGCACAACAGTCAGGAATGGTGATTTGTGTAATGCCATAAACATAATTTGTCAACAAAAGGTCATTTTTTTGGTGTTTCTACCAGACTAGAGTTTCTGGGACATGGCTGAGAAACTGGAGGGAATTCAGAGGAGAGCTGCTTGCTTAGAAGTGTTGGAATATAAAACTTCCAAAGGAAAACTAGAACGGAGATGTGTTCAGCCTGAAAGCAAAAGTGTGGGTGAAGATGTGCGGGTAGGGAAAGACATAGCTGCAACCTATTCATACGTTGAAGAGATTTTACAAAGGATGTGGTGTGCTTGTTTTCATTACCCAGTGAAGGTAGAGCAAGGAATAAAAAGCCTCAATTACAGCAGAGGAAATGTAGCTTAAATTTTAGGAAAAACTTGGCAGCTTTGTAGTCACCGGTGGTACAAGCCATTGAATCTCCCTGGATGTGATGTGCAAGGTGAGACAAAGTACCCTATGAGACAGAACCAAAGACGGAATATGGAAGTCCATCCTACAAGGAGGGGGAATGGACTAGCGAGTCCAGCAGAGTGCTGTGTCAGCTGACATGAGGATATGTATTGCTCACCAACAGATTGGTTCATCAGGAGATTAGCAGGCAAACAGAAGTGGCCAAACAGGAACTAGTGGTACAGATTGTGACTCATATTTGTGGTCCCACTTGATTACTGAGTGAATCTCTTTAGAATTGGGGATGGCTCCAAATACCACTGAGCTGGGCATGGGAGAGAGAGAAAAGAGAGGCAACTAATGAGGCTGTGAAGAGAGAGGGTGTGGGATTGTCAAAGACCCCACAGGCTACATCTGTGCTCTCACGTTAATTTGAGGTTTGAGTCTGCAGTCAGACACTCCGAGGTGTCTGCCTGCTGGGCCACACTTTCACTCCAGTCTGGGATGAGTCTGCTGGGTTCTTGGGCAGCAGTGTCTGAGCACAGTGAGGGATGTGCTGGTTTACAGCAAGCCTCTCTCCATGAGGCACTGTAGGTACAACCAGCTCAGCCCTGGGTGCAGAAAACTGCAGAAGACAACCAGGCATAGCTAGCTAAGATGTATGGAAATAGCTCAAGTAATTAGGAGCACAAATTTGCCTTTGCAAAGGTGTATTAGTTCCCTAATCACTTTGGTGTATTCCTCCATCCCCCAAAAATAGATAGAAGAAAGAAAGAGGAAGATCTATGCATAGAAGACAGATAGATGTAAGGATGTTGGACTGGAAAGGTGAGCTAGGGAAGAAATAACGAAAATAACTCCAAAAGCTAGGAGAGTGGAACAGAGTTAAACACATTAAAGAGAGAAACATTTGGAGAAAAGGTAGGGTTGGCAATAGGAAAAAATGTAGTCAAGAAAGAGGACAAAGTGGAAGGATTTTTTTTAAGAAGTGAAGGAAATGAGAGTCAGATAATACAGTGTGGATGTAGTCATGCTAAGCATACGGAGCATGATGATGAATGTGGCCCCAAGGTTAGATAATAGAAGACAACGTTCTGTATAGACTTAGACAGTATCCTGTTTCTGAGATGTGAACTTGAACAATTTCTGCCAGGGATTTTTGGAAAGAGAGTAATAATTTTATTTTGAACAATAGAAACAATTCAAAATTACTATGCAATAAGTAGAAATTGCATCAATTTATGAAAAATGAAGCAATCCAGTATTATCACAGTATCCTCTTTCTGCCTCTTTTGCAGTCCTCCCCCTTTCTTTTCAGTTCTGATTCCAAAATTAAGTATAGGGTCAATCTTTTTCTCCTTAGCAATTGCATCAGCCATAGGAATGTATCACGTGGTAAGTGAAAGAATATGAATAATTCAGAAGAAAATTTTGAATCATTTAAAAAGCAGAAGCTTCACTTTTCATTGTTAACCTGTTCCCATATAATGTGAAATCTACAAAAATCACATTGCAACTTCTGGAGAAAAAACATTGAAAGTATTTGAAAATATTCTTGCATTCTATTAATTGTATCCAAAGAATATTTCAAACTCAGAGTTTTCCAAAACTGTGTTTCATGTTTCATGAAAAAATCAGAAGATAATTAAATACCGAGTATGTGCTGCCTAAACAGGAAACGCCATATGTATTTCCAGAAATAATTGTGGCCATAAAATATAATCACCTTTGCCTCTAAGATTGATGGAAAATGTAACACTTAGTTAACCAAAACCAACTGTATTAGGGAATTAACATGCTCTTCTGCTATCATTATCATGCATATATATGCCACCATCGTTGCTCGTTAGTGTGCATTTTTGGCTCCTGTAATATCAGCATGACTAGAAAACAGCCTTTGACTGGGCCTAAGCCAAAAAGCTTAGCAACAAAAACATAAAGAGAAAAGCCAGTTCAATACAGAGAAGATAAGAGCAGGAGATCAGAGTGAGGAGTTTGTTCCCCAGTTTAGTCACTGATTTGTTGTATGGCCTTTCAAGAGGGACTTTATCCTCTCCTGACTGAAGGCTCATGCCTCATTTTCCTCACCTGTGAAACAATAAGAAGACCGAATCACTTTGCCTCTGCGGCTGTGAATGACCAAATGACACAGCATTTCTAAAGCACACGGAGACCCTCCAGCAAGAAATTGCTACAGGGAAGGCAAGTGCGATGCTAATCACCTCTCATGCATGCATCATGATTAATGAGTCTCAGAAGGTTGTTCAGGGCAGTGAAGCTGCTGGTTATGATGGCATTAATACGCATTTGCATTTCTTTGACAGCAGTATTAGCACCCGCATCCCACAGGGGGTATCAGGGCTGCGCTCTCCAGGGATGGTTGGGGGTATCCTACCATTCAGTTCCTGCCCTGTTGATCTCTTCCCACCAGCACTCTGTCGGCTCACCGAGGCTCTGGGCTGCCGGCATGCAGGCGTAGTTCCACAGTCTGTCAGAACCTTCCTTCTTGCTGAAAACACTCCTGACGGCCACAATCACCTGCCCGTGCGGGCACTGGAAGTTGAAACCCTGACGGTACACGTTAACCCATTCATCGTTATCTCCATAGTTATAGGGACCATAGTAATAGTCACCATACTGGCCCCATGCCACGGTCACCAGGGGCAGGAATACACAGAGAAGGATGAGGTCCATCCTGAGGATGTTCCTGGCTTAGAAATGCCCCACTGGTTTGTTGGGCTGGCCCTTTTATATCGCCTCTAACATTTGGCTTCCAGATGTTATGCTTCCAGATCCAAGTGCAATGTGTCATTGCTTAGCAAACCTTCTCTGAGTTACAGACACGTCCAATTACTTTTAAGGTGGAATTCTGCAAGTACAGTAAGTTTGCAGGCCCTAAGAGCAGGGTCTTCCCACCACCACAACCCATCTGTGATCCCTTGCTGCAGAGCTACTGTATAGAGCAAGATACACAGTGTAGTACAATTGTCACAGACATCCCACTTTTATTCTCAAGACAGCAGTTAAGTTTGAAAACTGCTTTGTTTGAAAGTAAAGCTCCATTTGAAGTTACCATTTCCCACCAGTAGTAACATGCAACAAAATGTGATCATGTGTGTCTCCCCACCCTCTTTTCCCTAAATAGGTGTGACATGATTCTGCCAGTCCCTAAAAAGAAGGGAATCGGGCAAGGTAGGGGAATTCGCTGCTCCTGTTGTAAATAATCCTCTAGGCATTTTGGTTTGGTTTGGTTGGTGGAGCCGGAATGACTGGGACTGGCTTGGCATGGAAACAGCCCACCCTGAGAAGCTGGGCATTGGCTTCTTCCATGCAGAACTGATTTTGCTATGACTCTGTGTGAGCGCTGTAAAACTGTGGACTTGGTAGATGTTTTAATGTGAGGATAAAGCACATAAGCAAGTTACGGTGAGATAAGCTTCATGTGTCACCACAGCCTATTGAAGTCTTTAAGCAAGGGCCTTTAAGCTACCTTGCATTTATCACAGGCTAGGAACATGGGGCTACTGCTGAGGAACTGCTGTGCTGCGAATTCAAAACCTGGCTTGCCACTTGGAAATGTGTTTATATGCCACATGAACCTGGCAGCTGAGAGCTGCTGATCTAGCTCGGTGCCTCACCTCCAGCTGTAGCAGCCCCAGATGCTTGGGGAGGAGGGCTATGGAGACTGCAGAGAACAGCCCTTTCTTTGGAGCTGCCCTCCTCTGGATCTTAGGTAACAGGAGGGGACACAGTAGACAAAGTCTGGAGAGAGGAAATTTAAGATTAAAAACTCCATAGTTTTTTGATGGGCACCAGGGTGCAGACTTGAACCACACTATCTCACATGAGTTTTTCAGCTCAATCGGTAGTGTATGTTTTTTCCGTCTTCCTTCCTTAGACACATAGCCAACGTCTGGGAGCACTGGACACTGCTGTATATGCCTGAGAGGCATTCTGGAAGATGTTTTAGCAGGAAGCTCCACATTGTCATCTATATATGATCTTCACCTTACATAAACATTTATAAACACCATTCCTTGGAAGGAAATCTTCACATAACCCACACAAAATCAGGGGCAAGAAGAGATGAGAAGGGGGAGGATGGCTCTGTGGAGAGTAGGGCAGTCTTCCTTTGCCTACCTTTGACACGTGTGTGAAGCTTCGAGGTGTCTGTTGTCACTTCCTACATACAGTCTGCCCTGCCTGATCCCTGTTGGTGGGTAGGGTGGCACTTCCATGCTGCACTGTGATCAAGAAGTGGTTTGGCTGGGGGAAAAAGCTGTGCAGGGAAGATAGTGAACACGAGAGATGTGGAACTAGAACTCCCTGTAGCAGTCATGGCAGTGCAGACATGTCCTGACCAGGGACTGCCTGAAGAGCTACAGTTCTATGTTTCTGGATCCAGTGCTTTCTGGGAACTTTTAATATTAAATTTCATGCTTCATTCTGATGCTGAATAAAAAAAGAAGAGAGCAGAATTTCTCATAGGAGGGACATGATGCTTTTAATGACCTTGGAGGAGGGTGGTATTTGTGAGTGGGAGGAACTGTGATTTGAAAATTCCTGTAGAGGTTAAAAAAAGAGAATAGTGTACATACATGAATTTTGTTTCTGAGTAATGCTCATTCAGCTCTGCAGTTCACAGCTGCTTGGTTCATGGACCAAAGCTGAGGCTACATGCAACTTGTTTCGCTAACATTTCATACCATTGCTCCCACCCAGGTAATTCCACTGACGTTGCCAGTGCTGAGAGTTGCAATTTTAACTGTGTTTCCATTTACTCACTGGCATGTTAATCCCTATGCCTTATGCTGTTCTGACCAGTGAATCACACATAGCAGTTCAAAAGCCAGTGGCTAGAAGAGCTGCAAACTAGCCTTCAGCTTGGTGACCTTGGTTGGCTTCAGCTAGAGTTTGCACTAGGAGGAAACTCAACGATATTTAAAAATCAGTCCCTCTCTGAAATTACTTACCCTATAATTTGACTTTAAAAACGTCAGCTGCATGCGTTGTACATCCAATCTTTGGAAAAGCAGAAATTGTCAATGAAGTAGCAAATATGAGGGGCTAGGGCCAACCTTTCATTACAGTTGCTTGCCGTGGAATCTATTACATTGGCTCGTAATCTTATTCCCTGTCAGTTCTTAGAAATGCTTCATTTAATCCACACAAACAAGTATTTAATTTCTGTCTTGCCCAATGATAGCAGATGAAAGTGATTGTTCTTGATATCGCCCCCGCCTCCCCCGGTCTGACTTCAAAGTTCGTTCTGCTTTGAGCACAGTTTGGACTAGAGGCCTTAGGAGAGATGTCCCTTCGAACCTGAATTATTCTCTGTTTCTCTCCTGCTGCAATACTAGGTGCAGAATTACTTAGTGTGGCAGGCATTATTAGTGCTTTGGAACCATTAGGAGAAATGCTGCAGTATTCTCTTACCATGCCATGTTACAGCCATGAAATGCAGAGAGTTTGCAGTGCTTTGAACTAAAATCATAGGCACAGTAGTACTATTCAAATGAATAACAGTAGCCAGCTTAATGGGTTTTATTTTAGCACCCAAGCTCTATGCTAAAATAGGGGAAAGAACAGAAAAGCTTTATTTAGTATTTGGCAAACACAGAGCCACTAGAGCTGCAATGAGAATAGCAAGGGTTCAGACTTGGTCAGTGACAGGTGCAACTAGACCTGTATCTACAAACTGGGTTGCATGAAAGTAATGTCATCTGGTTTTATTGGAGTAGCTGTGTTGCTGATGTTCCTGCACCTGCAAAGGTCTGACTCAGGGGCAACCATTTTTTTCCCCACTATGAGGGCAGAAGGAGCATATAACGGTGTTATCGCACAGCACTTCATCCTTCCGATGCACAAGAGTGATTCCATCCCATATTACTCAGGACTGTAGCCAGAAGTGAAACTTGGCATTTTGTGCTGGTGAAGGAGGCTGAGGTGTGTATCCCCTGAGCACGGAAGTCCTCTGTACACAAAACAGGTATGGAAGAAGCAGTGACAGTGACAGTAGCAGCAGCACTGTATGTCTGCTTCCAAGCTAATGCAACCGCATCGTGGCATTTCACGGTGCGAAGAAAGTGTTTTTCATGTCAGCTCATTGCATCAGTGAGGTGGCACATTTTGAACACATTTTCCATATTTTATTGCATGCTGTTTCAGAGTGATGCTGGCAGTTCTGATAAAGCCGAGTGGCTTGGATGAGTCAGGGAGGCTGCATGATCTGGGAGCTGTAAATTGAATTCAATAACTGATTACTTTTCCGTACCATCTTTGCAGCATGATTTTTTTTATAAGCTTCCTGCATTGTCAGTCTTTATAAAAGTGTGAGGATTTTGTGTGCCTTTATTATGTTTTTGAAATGAGTTACAGAAGCCTTGGTAAAGTGGAGAAGGATGAAGCTGCTAGAAAGCTGTGCTTCACAAGGGACAAAGATTATACTTGTCAACCTTTTAGCTCAAAGTTATTACCTTCTTTCAGAGTAATGTATATGCTGAAGGCTGGAGTTCATTTGTCAAGGCTTCCTACTGTTCATGATATTTTTTTCTAGCACCTTTCACTTGATGTTCTCAAAGTACTTTGATTAAGTTCAGTCACCTTCTTGAAAAGTAGGAAAGGTTAAAACCCCTTTATTTTACATGGTAAGTCCAGTGATCTGCCCAGTGTCATCCAGTTCCTCAGGGCTAGAAACAGATTTTAAATTCCAGCATCTAGACTGTCAGCATCAGGCTCTACCCTGGGAAAGCACACCTTTTCCCAACCCCGTCTTCCTGCTGCTTCCCTACTGAGACGCTGGCTCAGCATCTACTTTATGTAGCTCTTTCTTTGTAAAAGGGAAGCTACTACTTAAGATCCTGTGATACTAGACTATATTCCAAAGCTCTTTTCTCTTTGGAAGTAGCTGTAGAAAATTCTGATACGATGCCGCCTGGAATATTGCTGTGGAGAAAAAAAGTGCTATTTTTCCAAGGTTATCATAAGCCTTTTGGATTACTTTTGTAATAGCTTCCTGCCTGCATATGTAGTATTAAATCATGGGTTAAGTAATAGAAGCAAATAGGAAATGCAAAACTTAAGTCATAAAGTCTCTGAGGAAAGGGTAAGGAAGCTGCACTGAAACATTAGTAAAGAAACAACTGAAACAAATAGTCCTAGTCTGGGGAACCGGCTAGCTGACATGATAAATCTTTTCCACCTGCAACTATGAAATCTAATATTTTGAAAACGTAGTTTTCAAGTAGTTGGTGAACAACTGATCACCATTCCTAGATCAGATGACACCCAAAAACTGGGTACAAAAGTGACAGTCACAAACCTTTGTAACAAACCTTTCCCTGCTTACACAAAGCTTTGAGCAGGGAAAAGCTGGAGAGAGGAAGAGAGCTAAATTGTGAAAGAGGAGATATCCTTATCAACTGCAAGGTTTTTGCAGACATCCTAGAATGTCTACACAGAATATGCTGCCAACCCAGGAGCCTGTTGCCATCATTACTGACTTCCACAGATCTCTCCCCAGAAAGAATTTCAAATAGATTCACTAGGGGATATTTAACCAGTTCTGATACAGCCATTCCTCAAATCTGGGCATGAGGAACTGTGTAACTTGGCTATTACATACATATAGTAAGAAGTCACGCACAGCTTATGAACAGAAAATGATGCATTTTTTGTTCAGTAATAGTGAAGAA